GAAAAACTTCCTCCTCATATCCAACCTAAACCTCCCCTGTCTCAGTTTATAACAGATCACGCTATCATAATAGATAGCATGCACAGCTTTAGTGGGTGTTAAGGAACAGAAGCAGTCAAATATCAGTGCTAGGACTGCTGATGGAGTTGGTGACATGAAAAATGCTGTGGTGGCATTTTGGTGCTTATGGGAGAAACTGCTGTGTTTGCTCCACAGGGAACCTCTTGCTTGGAAATAAACCGCTCACAATTTGTGCTTAAAACCCACTGAATCCATCAAACCTCAAAGCATTTTAAGAAACCCTGATTGGAAGTTTAATGCCTCTGAGGAGGCGGCGGAATAGAGCACTGATAGACTGATAGGTTTGCTCAGATACCCATGCTTGCTGCTGTAAGAGCAGCAGAATAAAGCAGCTCAATAAAGCAGCTCAATCCTTTTTTGGCATGAACCAAAAATATTCCTTCGGGACTGCCTGGGAGCAGCACCTCCACTTCCTTTCTGCACTGCTATCAAAATCTGATGTAATTGCAACAGCAGCACTGCTGCAAAGAGCTGGAGAAACGTGATTTGCATATGAAGGGATTTTTGATCCATTCCCTTTTGGTAACTTTGGAGGAATGAAGGTCTGAAACCCCGCCAGGACTCCTCATGGTGGTTCTGCCTCATTTTTCCATTTTTTTTCACCCCTTCTGCTTCTCCCACCCCTGTTTGCTGCCCTTGTAGCCCAGATTTGCTTAAGCAGGAGAACGAGAGATGTGCTTATTTTCCATCCCAGGGCAGAAGTGGTAGGATATCAGCACTGAGATGGTGAGGTTGGAGTTCCTTTTCCATATCCCAAGGACTCCTTTGGACAGAAGGATATGAGGCAAACTTACAGACCAATTATTTTCCTTTCAGTTTGGCAGTCTGTTATCACATCTCCATCTTTCTTTGTCCAGTGCACTGCAGGCTGTTGTGCAGACACCCCACTGAAATGAGCAACACCTGTATAGGGACCCACTTACTCACTACATGGAAATTAATGTGGTTTAGATGTATCCACACCATCAAACTGGAGTGGCTGGCATGATCTGGAGCAGCATCACTTTTGTCCATACAGAAACTGTGGCACCATCTCAGAATCAGAATCACACAATCACAGAATGGTGGGTTGGAAGGGACCTCAAGGATCACGAAGCTCCAACCCCCCTGCTGCAGACAGGGCCACCAACCTCCACATTTCATAACAGCCCAGGCTGCCCAGGGCCCCATCCAACCTGGCCTTGAACACCTCCAGGGATGGAGCATCTCACCATGCCATGTATTCCTCCTGCTATTTGAGAGAAGTCAAATGGGACGTGCCCAAGAATTGCCTAGGTGCTGCTCAGCTTCACTGCAGGGCTGTGCAGCACCTGCTGGGTGGAGGATGTGCTCACCCTGACCCACCAGGCCCTGGTACCACTTCCTCCAGGCACAGCCATGCACTGCCCGTGTGTCTCAAACAGCCATCCAGAGAGATCCTGCTTCACCCCATCTCTTCCTCCAGGGAAGAACTCCCAGTCACAGAGGGGAGAAATTCATTATGGAATTGTTTCCTTTGGGATGTTTCTGTTTATTTTATTGACATCCTTTATTTTACACATATGAAGTTTTCAGTGTTCGGCAACATTAGAGAGAAAAAAACCCTTCCAGTGAGAAAGAAAAGCAAAATTGCTGGTCTTGGCTCTTTCTTCATGTTTCAGCCTGTGTCCTGGGTAATTAACTTAGTTGAAATGCATGAATGTGAAACACAAGCATTGCCAAGAGTGCTCTGGACTGCACTGCTGGATCATTTTCCATTGGCATCTTAGGACAATGTTCCAGCAAAGTGCTCCATAAATACTAGCCCTGACCTTAACTTTTTCTGTTTTGCCTCTTTGCTTTGGTTACCCTGTCCATAACATGGAGAAAACAAAATGTATGTATCTTTAAAAGGATGCATTGGGATTCCCCTGCTGCTGTTCAAAAAACGATGTGTATGTCACCACGTGGAAGTGCTTTTGCACAGCCAAAATGTAGGCTCAGCCACTAACAAGTTTAAACCTTCTCAAACATAGGGAGAAAGAAGAATGAGACACCACTCCTGCCCTACAAGGCCTGGCAGGGATGTGTATGTTTTTGTAGGGACACAAAAACCTAAAGATGCACTATATTTTACCCCACATTCAGTGACAAACCTCAGCAATGTTTCCAGAGTCCCAGGTGACTCTCACTGCTGCTGGGATTTCACGTGGGTGTTACAAAAACAGACAGCTTCTCCTGCATGTGAAACACTGGGGCAGCAGTGTGATTCCCTCCCCCTCTGCCTCGTGTGCCAAAGGACATCAGCCAAACAGAGGTAAGGGGGCCGGGGGCAGCCGTGTGTTTCCATGTCAGTCTCACTTTATCACTGATGATTTAATTTTGCAAATGTTATTCTCCCTTCAGATTTTGTAATGAGAAATTGCTGCTTCACGGTCAGCTTGCATATCTATCACTGCGCTGTCCTGCAGCTCTTACATGCTTTCCTATTTATCAATCCTCCTGCAAAAACATCACCTAGCCATCAGGCAGCTACTGCCATTACGCCCTGTGACTGCCTGTTTCCATCCATCCATCCATCTGCCCCTCCATCCATTCATCCGTCTACCTATCTATCCATCCATTCATCCATCTATCCATCCATCCGTTCATCTGTCCATCTGCCCCTCCATCCATCCATCCATCCATCCATTTGTCCCTTCATCCATCCATCCATCCATCCATCCATCCATCCATCCATCCACCCACCCACCCACCCACCCACCCATCCATCCACCCATTCATCCACATAGATTTTCATCACCTCTTCCCCCGTCTTCTCTCTCTGCTCTCCCCTGCCCCTGTGCTTCTTGCTGTGCTGCAGGGGCACTGCAGGGATGCAGTGCTGATATCCACTGGACGAAGATGAGGATGTTTCTACAGAGAGCGATCCCCAGTGCTATAATTGCATATTCCAGGCAGGATTTAAGACTCTAAAGTCAGACTCTGAGAACTGTGTTTTTGTCGTGAGACCTTTCACAAAACACCAGTTATGCTCCATCTGCTGGTGGGATGGTGTCTGCTATGCCTCTGAAGCAGCGGGTGCTGAGCACACTCGGAGATGGGACAACACCGTAGGTGAAGCATCCCTTCCATCCCTTCTGGTCCTTGCATACCACGAGCCTGGCAGATGGTGCTGTGAGACATGGCTGAGCACTTTGCTCTGTTG